TAACATCTCTAAATGAATCTAGGGTTCGCATGATAGACAGCTAGGAGGGGCTGAATCATACAGGGCCAGCCAATATATTTATATATTATATATATATATATATATATATATATATATATATATATAAATAAAATATATAAATAATACTGAACAAGTATTATATACCTTGCCTCTTTACCTCCCTAGCAAGATGGCCTAAGCTCTACCATTCACCTAGTTTCTGCCTACAGGGGTTGTGAATTTCCTTCTTCTGGTCTTACTGTAAGTTCGTGTCCCTGTTACTATTATATAAAATAAGGCAGAACTTTCTGCTTACTCAAGATATATCTCAGTACTAACTGTTCCTGTGGATGGACCTGGAGCTAACCAGCAGATTGGAAAGGAAATTCCCATCCCCAACCCATCCCAATCAGAAAAAACAGCAACACCCCAGAGGCCACTTGGGTCTCTAAAACCTTCTTTCTGATATTTGCAATGTAATCATGGCCCCAATTATTCATTAGCATGCAATAAGGTTGAAGACCATGTAAAATCAGGTTGACCCTGAAATTTGGTCAACATGTTTGCGAGCAATTCCTATGATCTTCCTTTAAATGCTGCTAATGGTCCAGAGTCTTCATCTGCTCCCAGAGAGTCCTATCTCAGTCAGCATCCTCTCCTAATTACCAAAACTGCCAAGAGAGAAGTGTTTGAGATTTTTTTCTAATACAAGCTAACAAATTGATCTGCCAGTTTCATGGGCATCAGTAGAAGACATGAGACTCCTGGGTCACATACAAAGCATTATAGCACTAATGACACAACAAGCAGCATGATTATCAGCATAATTTCATTAGTTCTTCCTAATACCCAACACCCAGAGGAGTGCCCTAGATAGGCTCAGATGGGAGCCCACACATGTGACAGGTTCCATACAAGGGAGAAACCTTGAGCTTAGAGAACTCAAATGTCTTTTATCAATGACCAGTAAGCACACCTTTTACTCTGGAGATTGTATGCACACAACCTCTGCTAGGGGAGGCGGGGTGGGAGAAAGGAAGATACTCTCTTCCAAGACAGCTTGCTCACTATAAAAACAAGCAACTGAGTGAGACCCTGCCTCTAAATAAAATACAAAATAGGCCTGGGGATGTGGGTCAGTGGTTAGTGCCCCTGAGTTCAAAACTTGGGACCCCAAAAAAACAAAAACAAAAACAAAACATCCTGAGTAGGACAGTCTAAGACACAGGGACTACAGTATCTCACTTAAAAAGACATACAGAAATGCAAGAGATTACAGAGACTTGCTTCTCCACAGGTTTACATTGTAGAAAATGCAAACAAAAACAACAAAATTTTGCTGTTTGTACTGAAAGCTCTCAGACTTATGGTGAAATACATAAGTTTACGACTTACACAAAAATATTATAGAACTCTTACAGATTTTTAGAGCTTACCAAATACCAAGTCTAACCATCTCAACCCACTTCGCCAACTTCATTAGATAAAATACTCAAGTCTGCTCTTCTTTCTTTTTTTAAATTTGACTAACTTCACACATAAGTCCACCTAATCTTCACTGCTGGATGTTAGCCAAAACAGAGTTCTTCTGATAAACCCTCAGGAGAGTCAGGGAGGCTTGATTAAAGGGGAGATTTTAAAGTCATAGATTAAAATGTCAAAGTAGATTTCTTCTGAGGCAATTCAGTCTGGCATGACAACAACATGATTATCTTAGTAAGAACTTTCAAATTCTAGAACAAAAATATACTAAGCGCATCTTAATAACCCAAGAAATAGGACTGCAGTTATGTAAGGGAAGCTGGCTTATCTTAACATTCATCTATTAAGCCCCATTTTGTTCCATGACCCAGGGTTCTTAACAGACTGCCATGACAATTAAACCTCCATCCTCCTAAGAGCCTGTCTACAATGGCCTACGAAGAAAGGGATAAGAGCCAAATTCCAGGTTGGCCTCAATTATGTCTAAATGTCAACGTGTTTTCCCACACAGTGAGACATATGAACATCCTGAAGCAGACCTCTTTTAAAGGAACAGGGTCAGGTTCCCTAGTAAGTTTTTTCACCTCAAAGGATAAACAGGAATGTGCTATCTTTCTGATTCTATGGTAAGATAGAATCACAGATATGTTTATCATTCCATTATAATTCCTTACACCCTTAGACTGTATGTTCTCAAACCACTCTGTTTTAGAGAAGATCTCAAATGTTTTAGTAAAGTACAAACACCATCAGTCTAGTGTTATTGTGTCCATGTGTATGTCCTGGATTAAGGCACTTTTTTTGTTTAGATTACAAACCACATTACTTGATAAATATCTGAGAAAAATGGGAATGGGTGAGTTGGAAATGAAAGTAAGCTTCACTTATTCTATCATTCCAATCCTTCTAAGAAAAAAGACCCCTACAAGTGTTTGGTTTTCTAAATAGTTTATAACAGAACAAAATCATATTCTTGCAAAAAAAAGAGAGCCAAGTTTCTTATTTTGGTATAATTTATTCTCTTTTGGTCAAAGAGATCAACAATAAGGTCCTCAATTTCCTTGGCAGCACCCACTGCCATTCCCACCCCTGTGCTGTGCTACATGAATGAATTCATTTATTTATGTCCTGCTTTATCTACAAAAGATTTCTTTTTTTTCTTTTTTCCCTAGAACTATTAACATCAGGTTAGTTCCACTGTGCTTTTTCAAGGGAGATTTACTAAAAAGGGATAGAAAGATCATTTTCAACAAACAAAAACTTCATTTTCAATAATGAAATATTGTGCTTTATTTCATAACTCTGGGTTAAAAAAAATGCTTCATAGTATGTCCATAATAAGATTCAGTAGTTCTAACACCAATGGACTATGGCCTTTTACCCAAGAGACAGATTTGCTTATACTGGCATGGAGGTAACACACCTTAACATCTCATTTCCTGATGTTAAAAAGGTCAAACACTTGCTTCTTTAATCTACAGTGAATATAAAACACCTTAAAAGCTATTTTCACATGCCAAACTTTCACAGCACATTTTCTACCCAAATAAACACACACAGTATAATCCATATAGTGATGTTAACTCATAATCTATTTCCTCTACCAAACCTGAAGCAAGTCTTTTTAGTATGAATTACCATTTTTCCAAAAAAAGATAGGGGATCTCAATATATGAATGAATATTCTCAAAATGGAAATTGTGGCAACATCAACTTATCTCCCAGAGCTTAAACTGTTCAACATTGCTCAATGCTTAAAGAGTTAGTCATAAGAGAATTGGTGGTAGTGAGTTAACTCAAAGCCGGGTCACCCTGGGCAGGAAGTGGCTGAGAAAATTTTAGCAGATTTTAAACTTATTTAAAATTAGTTGGCCACTTTGGCTAAACATACCCAAGACCACCTACTCTACCATTCCCTCCCAGCTCTCACAGCAAGAAAAGTACTCACCAGAATGGACAGGAAGGAGGCCCTTCTGATGAAACACCACCAAGGTAACTGTCTGGATTTTATGGCCATTTAATATATTCCAGAAACAAAATTATAGATTTTGTCATATTATAAACATTAAATAGGCCAGTCCACAGACCACCTAGGCTTTTTCCCCGGATTATACTGTAAATTCACAATGCAGGGCTATCTGAAATGCAGGCATCTTGCGAGGTGATATTCCTGCTATTAAGTGCATGAGGAGGAATACAGTGGTCACACATAAAACTAAAGCAATCCTGGGAATGAACTCCTGTAAATTATGTAGAAAGTATTAAGATCCTGATGCCAGAAAAGAAAGTCTCTCTTTTTAGAATGAGAGAGCTTGAGATCTATACAATAAAATCAGAATTGGTTGAAAGTGATCATGGTTTGTTTTTTTTTTCATTTCTGAATATCAACTTTAAAAATAATTCCACAAATTTTACTGAGTCTATTAACATTTCAGTTAAGTGAAACTGAACTTACTGATATGAAACTAAGCCTCACAATAGGAGGTTTACTTCAATTACTAATTGAAGACCTCAATTAGTATAATATTTTTTTTTTTACTTTTTAAAATGTGTTATAACACAGATAATTTTTAAGAACAAAGTGACTAAAATTAATGTTGCAAATTTCCAGAACTAGTTGGACTAATTTTTTTGACAATCCAAAAAAAGGGCTAAGCTAAAATCTCATATTCCAATTGAGTCAGCTACAAAATTTCATACTTACCCCCCATATAACCTCAAAAAATTTTAAATAAGATGGTTTATAACAGAAATTCTGAAAATAAATCATCCTCAAATAGTTTTAGATTTTCCCCATTGGCCACAAATCACATCCAGAAACCCAAACAAAACAATCTCTGAAATGTCTGAGATCTGCAGCTGAAATCCAGAGCTGTGAGACGAGAAAAGGAGTATGAAGAAGATAGCCTACCCTCGCTCTCTGCTTGGACAGCACTGGTTTTTTGAGCTCCTAAGCCATGTAAGTGAATATTCTGAGTTCATAAAAGTCAGCAGTAACACTAAAATAATAATAATAACATAAATAAAAATAGGCTCTGGTTAGAGAGAGGGGATCCATTTACTGCTGCCCTGCTGAGGTACATTTGACCACCAAAGACAGGAAAGCTATTAGCATCCTGAATTAATGGGTGTAGTGGTTTTCAAACAAGATATTTCCATGATGGACACAATGTGGACTCAGCAAAGTTTCTCCTTCAAGAAAAATATAGCTTCTATTTCAAAGAGCACTGATTAGGCTTAATACCATTAGGGAACCATCAAGGATTTGTGTTGTTGTTACTGCTTTTAACCATCAGTTACTTTCTAAACCAAAAATTGAGGGTAGTTAACTTGACTGATAGTCAAGATTTAGGAATGCAGGAGCAAATCCAAGGTACAGACGAGCTTCAGATGTTCAAGGCCTTAATGCTTTGGAACCTTGTTAGGTTGTCAGGTCTAGCTGTTCTTGTGGATTTTGTCAGTAAAAATTCATTTCCCTCCTGAAAAGCACTGAACACTATTTGATTTTAGAAATTATCAATACAGTTTATTGGAGCAATGTAAATCAATTACAATTAAAAACCAAACTAAACAGATTTTCCAAATGAATAAATCTTAAGCACTATTAATTGCCTATAACATATCTGGCAAATATGTTTAAAAAATTCAACAATATTAATTTTCTTTGTAAATTAACTGTAAAAAACTATAACTGTTGAGTCAATCTCCATTAGTACTTGAAAGTACAAATACAAGTCAAATAAGGTTCAAAAGACCTCATAAAACAGACTAGTCTAAAATACAAAGACAATTTTTAAACTGCTTGATTTACTTCAAAGCATTTTTATACAAAATAATAATAACCACCTTAAAATAGTACATGTTTTCTGGATTGTACACGAAAGTTCACTTCCAAATGTCTTTTCTGTCAAATATTTAATCTTTCTTCATTGTCAGAATCTTAATTTTCATTCCTGGTTGGATTTTTCTTCCTTAATAATTCTTTTTGTTACTCCACTGAAATATTTATCACGGAAGGAATTATGACCTTGATATGGCAGAAAATGATCACTTAGCAGATGTGAATACTGGTCCCGGTTCTGGTTGGTAAAAAAATCCAAAATATAAAGATGTGCAAGTTATTTCTTTAGTTTGTCTGCAACCAATGCAGTCATTTACTCTAAGCAAAATCTCACTCTGACATATATTCGCATTTCTTTATTAACTGAATGAGAAATATGCAATCATTTTTTATCTGGATTATGCTTGGTTATTCAAAGTGTTTTCACTTACTTCATCTCATTTAATCTTCACAATACTCTGCACAGAGGACAAACTCTTTAATTACCCAGAGAGGACAAAGAGACTTATTCCAGTTTTCACAGTCAGAACTACAACTTTCTTCTGATTCTTAGTTCAGTATACACTGAAATCATCTGTAGGTATGGATAAGAATGAACAAACCAAGAAGCTTCTACTCAAGAGAAAGGTATGTACCAGAAGATTACTGAATGCGTATGATGTCATATAAAACTCTCGAGGGCTATGCTCGTATTCAGTATGAAATAAAGGATCCTCAGTACAGCAGATGAAGATTCAGGCTAAACAAGAAATTTCTGCACTTTTAGACTTCACATATAAGTAAAGGCTAATGATCACTGGAAATATCAATCTAGGTTTTAGAATATCAAACATATTTTGGCAGAGAAAATGGGGACAGGAAGACTGGCATGAAACACTGAATCTCACACAATTTCACAAACCATTACAACCCTGTCGGGGGAAAAATCTAATTAGAAATAAAATATTATTTCTCATGTACTTCTGAAAATTCATATTGAATATGCATATACTAATGTAATTTTGAGAAAAGATGTGAGGACTCAATGATAAAACATGATGCCTAATTTTCTATCCTGATTTCAGTATCAAACAGGTAGCTAAAAATAACATCTGAAATATGAGTCCTCAAAATGTTTTTGAATTTTTGCACATTCCTCTGTGAAATAATTTCATCCTTCCCTTCATATCTAAATTAAAAAAAAAAAAAAAAAACAATGTTGAGCCAAAACAATGATTCATTTGTTCAGAAACTATTTTTACAACACATATTTTTTTTAAATCACATAGAAATTATTAAACATTCCCAGATGTCTTGGTTCATCAAAAATAAACAGGTGGCTATTTAAATTTAAAGGCACTAAGTATGTTATAACAACAACTGCTACAAGCACATGAAAACATGCCACTGGTTACTAACTTCAGTCTATACAAAAGAAATCAATAAATTTTATGTAGTCAACCTGTAGGCATATAACTAAAGAATACCAAATGAAAGTACAGTTTACTAATTATTTATTATGGACCCAAAACTATACTAAATGCTTTTTATGCACTATCTGACCAAATTTGTCAGCTCTAGATGATATGTACACAATCATCACCATTTTGCTGATGAGAAATTATTTAAGAGTCTAGACCCAAGATAATATAGCTGATAAGTGGTAGAGCTCAGCTTTGAGAACAGTTCTGTTTGATTCCAGAGATTATATGCTTAACTACAATTTAATGAGGAATAAACAGGTGATGAAGTAGCTTAGCTGACTACCAAGAAAAACATGGGAGGATTAGGTGAACTCCAGATAGGGCAAAGGGTGGGAGGGGAAGGAAGGGGGTATGGGGGTAGGAAAGACAGTGAAATGAGATGGACATCACTACCTTAAGTACATGTATGAAGACATGAATGGTGTGAATATACTTTGTGTACAACCAGAGATATGAAAAATTGTGCTCTACATGTGTAATGTGAATTGTAATGCATTCCGCTGTCATATATAACAAATCAGAATAAAAAAAAGAACAGAATTAAATCTGAAGTATTATTAACTTCATTCCATTAACTAACAGAACATATTTCAAGGAGATACAAGGAGCCACAGGAATGCTCAGGGATATTATTACCCTAGAAGTACAGCTGACTCTGCAGGTCCATATCTCAGGACTGTATTCAGGACAACAGTAGTAGAAAACAATGTTCCAGCATCTATCAACTTGCTCGTTTTATCAAAGTCTGACTGAAGGAAAGGAAGTGATATGCCATCAACTGCTCCACCAGGTATTCTAAATTCTGTTCTTATGTCAAATAGGATCACTGGAAAACTCGGCCACTCTGTGAGCTACATCTGCTTAATCCAGTAGAAAGGTTTTTCCTTGGTTATATATTTAAGTTCATGCTCAGATGCCACTATCTCCATCTTCTCACAGTTCTCTGCTTCATTCTCTACCCTGTCATCACAATCAGAAACCTGGATCAAATTCCTCTTTCTCTTCACCCCAATTTTGGTCCATCCTAAAACCTTAGCTTCTATATCCTAAATATCTCCAATCCACTTGTCTCCACCCAGAATCCCTGTACTCTAGTTTAGGCCTTCCTCATCTCTCCTCTTTTTTCTCTAATTGGCCAGTTATCCTGCCTTCAGTGGCTCCTTCTTCAGTCTGTTTGCCACACTGAGATCAAACCCAATTTATTAAAGCACAAATATAATATGCTACCCCTTGGTGAAAATCCAAACTTAGTTCACATTTTCCCCAACCCTCAGGCTTTCCCCTAACATTTGGCTGTTAGATTCAATTACACATCAGTTTGCTGAATGACATCTCACTCAATGGCCTTTCCTGTACAAGAGGAACTAGAACAGCGAGGCAACCAAGTCCCTCCCAGCTGTGTCCTACAGTCCTCTGTTCTCCCCAAGGCTCCAATAGGCCATGCAAGATCACCTCCTGCTCAAAATACACTGTAGATGATTGATTCCATGGAATATCCTAGAGCTACAGGAGTGAAGATGAGGTAGGACAGAATCATGAGGCTCTGGGGGAATGATACAGCTCAAGTACTGACTTAGGCTGCTGGTATGCACCTCCCCAGAAGGAAGCAAGGGGACAAAAGCCAAAGCACAATTAAAGACAGTCTTCCTTCGTGGACTAAAGAGAGAACTTGGTAAAATTGCTTATCTTTGACATGAAGGAGAGAAATAGGGCAAACAACAATAAAGAACATGGAATATAAAAGATCAGAATCAGAGCCAGGAAATGAACAAATAGAAGCCTAAAAAATCCCCAAATAACAAAGCCTATGCTAATGATTATCAAGGCAACATTATACACACACACACACACACACACACACACACACACACACACATATATATATATATATATATATATCTCCCAAGGTTAACTTAGAATACAGCAAAAGCAAAATAACACCTTAATAGACTATGTGTTTTGTTCAGTGCCCCAGAGACACAGTGGCAAAGACACATGTGCTACTAGAAAAGACAGGGCAGACCATTAACCTTAGAACTTCTGGGAGGAAATCTTACTTGCTCTCTCTCCCTTTCTCTCTCAGGTAGTACAGAGTATCAGAGTGAATATCTGGGTCCTGTGCTAGAATGTCATTCTCTACAAGACCCACTGCCCCTAGTGTGAAGCAGGACATTCATAAAGAAACTCCTGTACAATCCAAAGGCTCCAAATCCCTTGTTCAGCCAAGGATCTGCCAGGAACCAGTCTATTATCTAGAAGCATAAGTCCTGTTTCCCAATAAGCCAAATACTCTAGGGACTTTGGCTATTATTGCCATCTGGGAAGAAAAGCTACGGTTCATAAAATGTTCCTTATGAAATGTTTAGTGTATATTTGGTTTCACACGTATCATCACATACATACTATTGCACACATAAATATCATATACCTATTACCAATACACATTCAAATATACCCAGGCCATATGAAATATATATTCGATGATGCATATAGTATACTATATTTCATATGGCCTGGGTATATTCTGAATGTGCATTGCTACCTCAATGCTGGAGGGAACAGCAAACTCAATTTGTTCTCTTGTTTCTCTTCCTGTCTTTCATCCTATCTTTAGCCCTTTGACCAAGGCTCACACTTAAGATGATGATATTCAACTCCACATATCTTTCATCACCTTTTCAAGACTTTTCTCTATTCACATTCCCTGCCCATCTCCACTAGGAATGTCTGCATTTTTTTTTTGTTGTTGTTGTTGTTCAATTCAGTATCTCCAAGGCAAAAGTGTTTACTTAAATGGAGAAGAGCATCCTCAAGCAATGTAATCTTTTATGTCCTTCCTTCATTCAAGTTGGTCCCAGTATTTGACTTTCTCTAACATTTCCAAATTTGTCTATCACTATTATCAATCATAGTATCATCTATGTACCATAGAGCCTGAGTTCTACCCATTTTTAGTAAACAAGATATGTTTGATATAAAATATCAAACATGGAATTAGGAAATGCCACAAAAGGAAACTATGGTGATGAAAGATTAAAGATCATCTTCCCCAAATTTCTTAACTATTGGTAGTAATCAAGAATAAGTGAATAAAATATCAATACTGTTGTTTATACTATTTTATCATCCTTTAACCTGAAATCAATAGTTTTTGCAGGAAAATCTGTACTACCCACAAATGGCTACATAATGGGAATATGCAGCTTTCAGACTTCTCATTTATCCTCGTAAGACAACCAGCAATTGCAAATATTGTAAGAAATATAC